TTTAAAGGAGACTTATTTTATTTTATTGCAGAAATAAATGTAATTCCAGTTGAGTTTCTTTATTCAACTGTTCAAAAATGCGTGAAAACAAAAGGATGTCTGAGCTAGAAATCACTGAAATAGCTTTAATTAGCAATTATTACAATTATTACATTGGCTTTAGGTTAAAATAAATATTTTTTTTTAATTAAATTATGAGATCTTACCTTGATCATTATATTACCAATTTAAAATGAGCTTTGCTTTGCAGCTTTTGAGCTGCAGCAATGCTGAAAGAATGCTAAAATCAATCAAATAAAGACAGTCTGTTTTTAATTGTCTTTTTGTGCACATGTGCAGGTGATCGAGGTGTTGGTGCGCTCAGAGCAGGGTCTATCCCGTGAGGTGGTGAAGCACCTGAACCAGGTGGAAGAGCAGGTTCTGGAGAGCCTGGCCTGGACCAGCGGCTCCCCGCTGTGGCAGAGCCTCCGTACGGCCAAAGTGCCTTCATGTCAGGAGGTTAGAAAACGCCACGAGACGTCGGCTCTGCAGGCCTATTTTTTACACACAGATGATTTAAAATGATCCCCCCCATGTATGATGCAGGTGATGCCTCCTCAGTATCTGGAGCAGAATGAGGAAACCAGCACAGGAAGCGTTTCCCACACCCCCATCAAGGCTGGATCTGATCTAAGAGCCAACAGCATCATCAAAGGTCACAGTTTCTGTTGTTTTCAGCTCTCAGTTATGTTCTTACTATCTCAGTCATCACCGTCACAAAGGTTGTTGGAAAGTTGGTGTTCATTAATATCCATTTGTTCGTTCAGTGATCGGACCTTAGCGTGTAAACTAATTGGCTCCTCCCCCTCCTACAGGCGTGTCTCCCTCCCCCACCAGCCTGCAGGACAGGTACAGCTCCCCTCCCAGCGGAGGCTTCCGGCGCCGTCTGTTTGTAGACCCGGTGGAAGGCGAGCCCAGCGTCACCGCCACGCAGCAGAGCGCCGTCCCAAAGACGGGCATCGTCACCGCCTTCCCAGCAGGACAGACCGTGTTCACCGTCACCACCAACAGCGGCCAGACCATGACCATACCTCTGCAGGGTGAGAGAGCGACTTCCCCGCCAACCGCTGAGAATACCAAGCTTCTGACCTTTGACCTCTTTGCAGGGATAGCCAATGAGAGTGGGAGCATCACTCTGATCCCCGTTCAGATGAGTGGAGCCACACTGCAGCCGCTCTCTGCTCAGACTTTGACCGGCACCCTCGCCATCCAGTCCCCCGTCACCAAACCAGCCGCCAAAGCCGCCAGCAGCTCGCTGAGGAAAGGTTCCCTCTCTCTGTTCTTCAGGAAGGTTCGTCTCCCCCGTCCGCACGCGTCCACCGACCCCTGCTGCGCCCTGACCGAGTCACATGTCCTCCCCAGGTTTATCACATGGCCAGCGTTCGCCTCAGGGACCTCTGTGCCAAACTAGACATCTCATCAGAGCTGAGGAGGAGGATCTGGACCTGTTTCGAGTATTCAGTGGTCCACTGTACAGAGATGATGAACGACCGTCACCTGGACCAGCTGCTCATGTGTGCCGTTTACGTCACAGCGAAGGTCAGTTCCACGTTTGGTTGGAATGACAGAAATAAATGAGCATCAAATGTCAGTATAAAATGTTTTCTTAACTAGAAGCTGTGGAGCATCATAATGTTTGCAGTTTGAGGTTCCTTATGTCTTCACACTTTGATGAAGCTGCAGGAACTCGGTCGATGTGCTCAGACTCCTTCAGCTGAAGAGCTTAGCAACAAAACTTCGTAGCAGCACATTTTTTCTGTTAGTTTTATTTTATTATGCTGTCAGAAAAATCATAAACATCCTATTAGAACAGTTAAAATCAGTGGCTTTAAAGAATTAAAATACATGTACCGTATTTTCACGACCATAAGGCGCACCGTACTAAAAGG